GCTGAAATACCTCTCGGGGTCCTCTAGTGGATTTATACCTGCCTCTGCTCCCTCCTTTCCCCCCAGCGCAGGCTCACAGGGGAGAAGGTACAAGAGGCAGGCCCCTGGGCTTTCCTGTGCACGAGTCTCCCAGACACAGCCGGCAGGACTTTTGCCTGCTGGGAGGGCGTGCTGTGGAGAAGCCAGGCTTGCTTGGCCTCTCTGATGCCTTAACTCGGGCAGGGCTGTGAACTTCTCCGTGGAAACGTCTCTGCCTTTCCTTTGTCCCCTCCGGGCTACGATGGAAATGGCAATGCTTCACTCTGGGAGTCGGGGAGTCCCGACTGTATTAGAGTTAAGTCATCCACATAGGCACAAACTAGTCAGGCAGAAATGTGCACTGTCATCAGCCAGACCTTAAAGAAATACTTTTCTCCTCTGTTCTGGACTTCTTTTTTTTGCTTCTATTTAAAGCAGTCAAATAATTTCACTTTTGATGTGTATCTTTGGTGCTCTTGGATAGCCCATTCTGGCTGAGGTTGGGGAGAGGGATTTGGCCCCTGACTTGCATTCCCCGCCACCTTCCCCAGGATCCCGAACACTGGAGGCTGGCGGTGTGGTGATCCTTGGAGCACGTGCTCAGGACCCAAGGGAGCACTGTAGCCATCAGGAAGCTGCCTTCTCCCGAGAGCTTCCCTGTCACAGCTCTGCTCTGTTCCTTGGTTTGCGGGGGCGGTAGGGGGTGAGAAGCAAAGCTGGGGTGTCCGATCAGAAGGCCATCTTCTAGGCTGGAGGGTGGAATCTCATGTCTGGCTCCCATCCCTAGACCTCTGGGGCAGGGGGTTGGGGGAGGGGAGAGATAAAAAGGAAACCAAGAGTGCTAAGGAGAGCTTGGCCCTGACAGCATTGTTCTCCTGGAGAGGCACCGTCACAAAGGGGTGGACAGCAGAGTGCTGTCTGTACACTGCTTATTCCACTCACCAGTTGTGTGGCCTTGAGCAGGTTAATCTCTCTCAGCCTCTTTTCTTCATTTTGTATATTGGAGATAAAAATAATAACTAACTACCTCATAGGATTATTATGAGGATTAAATGGGACAGTGCATGTAAAATGCCTGTGCTATTTTATAATAGGTGCTCAACTCAGATTCACCATTTATTATATGGCCCTGGGCAAGTGACTTAACCTCTCTGAGCCTCAGTTTCATTGCCTGTAAAATAAGAAAAATGATACCTACCTTTTGGCATTCTAATAAAACTTAGAAGGTAGAAATCCTCTTGCACAGTGGTTCTCAAAGTGTCATCCCTGACCACAGCATTCCCTGGGACCTTCTTAGAAATGCAAATTTCCAGGCTCCATTCTACGTGCTAGATCAGAAACTCCCCAGCAGAGCTAGCTGTAATTGCCCTCCAGGTGATTCTGACGCTCTGTGAATCTGAAAGCCACTGCTCTAGAACAATTCCTGGCACAGAGGAGCTGATCAAAGAATGAAGGCTAATTGAAATGACCTCTCAGCACTAATTGGAACCCAGCAGGTGGGCAAACCCTGCTGTTTTAGGGTGTAAGGAAGGACTTTCTTGCTTTGGGGCTTTGGGATGCTAGAAATGTCTCTTTTTTTTTGTTTTTGACCTTAGGTAAGTCACCTAACCTGTCTATGGTCAGTTGCTGTGTCTGTAATAGGGAGGTGTTACAGTACACCACTCATAGCATGGATGTGAAGGTTAAATGTGCCTGGCACATAGTAATTGCTGATTAAATATCAGCAGTTGTTGACAGTGGCAGGGGATCCTCGACACGGGGTGTTATTTCTGAGAGCTTCTTGGTAAGAGCAGAGTCCACTTTGCCTTCAGAAGTGAAGTGGACATGAAGAAGCTGAGGGGGGCCCTGAGAGCAGAGTTGGGCTGCCAGCTCTCCTTGGAGCTCCTTATTTATTTATTTGGCTTCGCGCAGCCCCACCGCCGGGGAACTCCCCCTCCCCTATTTAAACAGCATCGCCCATGTGGTACCCGGCATCATCATCTCACGTGGGCAAAACAAGAGGAAGCTGGTTTATGATGTACCATGAGGGAATTAGGTTTGACAAAAGAGGTCCTTCCCTGAGAGTGAGGATGGGAGAAAGCAAGGTTGGTGGCCTTTAAAACAAAGACTGCCCCTAGCTGTCTTGGGAACTAGGGCAGTTCTGGGAATTGCCTCTAGAGCTGGGAGCTGACCTGGCCTGAGAAGGTTTCTCAAGTGGCTCGGCCACTAAACCCAGTCAGTTCAGCCAAGTTTCCTCCCATTTTAGGTCTTGGTTGTCCTGTCTCTAAAATCAGGCAGTGGCAACTTAGTGTCTGTAACATGGATCAGTCTGGATCCTTTAGCTCTTACACTGTGGGAGCTCTAGGCTGGAGGTCCAAGCAGTTGAGAGAAATTACAGTCTGGGAAGAGATGCCGGGGAAACTTTGGCCTAGAAGTTGGTGCAGCCAGATGGATGCTCTCAACTGCCCACCAGACTTGGGGTCAGACCCCAGTTCAGATTTCAACTGCCTCTGGAAGTTGTATGACTTTGGCCAAGGCACAAGGCACTTTGCTCTTCTGAGCTTCATTTTGCCCGCCTGTAAAATGTGATTAATAAGACCACCTTACAGGTGGTAAGGTGTAAGGTGAGGTGAGGGTGATATGAGATTACTCACACGTAGTCTTAGCAAGCATCCCGGCCCAGGAAAAGGTCATTATTCTCAGGATCACTGGAAACCTGAGAAGGACTCCCTCGGAGTCCTCACCCAGGGTGACCCCGGGTGCCTAGTTCATCTAGGGGCAAGGAGAGCTACTCTCTGATTCCGACACGCCTCTTCCCCACGACCGTGAGGTGCGGTGGACTACCCTCAAGGACTTTGTAGGACAGGAGGACCAGGTTTCCTTACAAGAACTCATGAGGCAGAACCCGCGGGCCACGAGTGGAAATTCACGATTGCCACCTGCTCAAGCGGTAGGGGTGGTATTGATGCGAGGGTGTGGGAAAGAAGCAGGGGCGGGGGTGTAGGGCTCGGGAGATGTTCCCAGGACAAGAGGCCGCAGTGGGGCTGCGGGGAGTGGGGGGCAGGATGGGCCGCTTCGGGTCACGAGGGGACGGAGTGTGTAGCGCCCTCTCCAGGCACCCCGCTTACGTGCACCTGGTTGCCTGCAGTCGGCTTCCACAGTGTCTTCCGCCCTCACTTTCTCTGCGTTATTGCTTTATCCGCTCGGTTCTCGCTGCTGCTGACCGATGCCCAGACGTGCTCTGTTCCACCCCACCCCTCCGGATGCCATCCCGGTCCGCCCTGTCTCCCTTCTCTTCTCGGGGTCCCGTTCAGTGGTTCAGCAAGGTCCAGCGCGAGGCGCCCCTCTGCCTCTCCAGCCCTTGGGGCCGGTGGGAGCCGCCAGGGTCGGTGATGAGTGGCTGCTGGGCCGCGTCCAGGGACCACGATTGCCGTTTTCCTCTTCTTCACCTCACGGGACCCCCTCGGCCTCCCAATACCCCATCCGCAATCCCGAAAATGTAACGGGGGTGCCGCGCACAGCCCTCTGGGAAATTCCCAGCGCGAACGGGAGGCGCGGGTCCTGCCCTTGGGGGCGATGCAGGGATGGCATTCGCAGGTTAGGGGGCGAGGCCTCATGGCATGGAGGCAGGGGCCTGGGTTTCCTGGGTTGGGGTGACTCCTGGTGGTCACTTAGAATGCCCCAAGGGCTGCTAACTGGCTCGGAAGTCCATCCAGCTCAGGCCAAGCGGGAGAATGAATCACGGCGGTGGCCCAGGCAGTGTACGTTGAAGTAAAGAGAATCATCTTCCTGATATTGACACCAAGGGTGATAGAGACCTCCCTGCCTAACCAAGCCACTCCACCCTATCCGAGAGGTCCCTTCCAGGCCTCCAGCCTGGAGGTTCCGATGGGTTTTTTTTTTTTTTTTTCCCCTGTACGTGGGCCTCTCACTGCTGTGGCCTCTCCCGTTGCGGAGCACAGGCTCCGGACGCGCAGGCCCAGCGGCCGTGGCTCACAGGCCCAGCCGCTCCGCGGCATGTGGGATCTTCCCGGACCGGGGCACGAACCTGTGTCCCCTGCATCGGCAGGCGGACTCTCAACCACTGCGCCCCCAGGGAAGCCCCGGATGGGGTTTTAAGGGAGGTGGTGCCCCTCACACAGGTCTCTTCCTGGTCCCTGTGTCCCTGTCGCTGGAGGTATCTGTGGGAAAGGCCACTACCATCTACGCTGTCAACGGCACGGAGATCCTGCTGCCCTGCACCTTCACCAGCTGCTTTGGCTTCCAGAACCTGCGCTTCTGGTGGTCCTACAACAGCAGTGATACATTCAAGATTGTAAGTAGGTGGGGAAGGGACAGGACAGCTCAGATCCTCCTCCATTCCTTGTCGCCTCACGCCTGCCTCCCATCCCAGGCTCTGGTCATTTCTGGACTGACCCCACGGTGATGGTCCCCAGGACCTTTTGTCACCTTTTCTCCCAGTATTCTTTTCAGAGCCTGTATAGAAGGATCTAAGTGGGAAGGATGCTTAGATTGTGTTGCCAGAATTTGGGGTCTGTTGGAATTCTTGGCTAGAGTCCTCTGTCTGGTCTGAAGAAATACCTGAAACTTGGTTAACTTGTGTACAAATTAATACTTTAATATAAAAAACGGGAGAGACAAGACCTTTGGGAGACTTGGAGAGGGGGAATGAGGAGAATCCAAATTGGAGGAGGGCTGGGGAACAGGCCTTGGAAGGATGGGAGGGCAAGCTGGAGAAGAGAAGGGGCCAGGGCTGTGGCCACGGGTGGGGATGGAGCAGTTAGCAGGTGTTTATTGAGTACTCACTCTGCAATCTAGTAGGGGACCAGAAGTGACAAGACACCAACTCTGGATGTAATTTACACACTGAATTCAGAGGGTACCGATGCACAGTGCCGTGGGATTGATCCACATCCTGATGGAGGGTCAGAATTCAGACAGATGGGCTGTGGCGTCAGCAGAGGCTGGGGGGAGTGATAGAGGGAAACGAGTGTGGTATTTGCAGGATTCGTTACTTAAAAGGCTTTTATGAAGAGAACAGTAAAAGCATGCTACATTCTAGGGAGACCTTAATAACAGAAAGTGGGTTTAGCCTGAAGCCAGTAAAATCCAGGTTAGACAGGCAGAGCTATCGATACTGGAAGGAAACCACCAGGGGAGGGCTCTTCCTGGACCTGGGCAGGGAGATACCCAAGGAGTGGGCTGGAGTGATGTCATGACTCTCGAAAGGACCTTGATTCTTTCTTGGCCACCTCCTTGCTCCCCTCTTCCCCCCACAGCTCATAGATGGGATTGTGAAGAATGAGAAGTCAGACCCCAAGGTGAAGTTGAAAGATGATGACCGCATCACTCTGGAGGGCTCTGTGAAGGAGAAAATGAATAATATTTCCATTCTGCTGAGGAACCTGGAGTTCAGCGACACGGGCAAATACACCTGCCACGTGAAGAACCCCAAGGAGAATTATCTTCAGCACCAGGCCACCATCTTCCTCCAAGTTGTTGATAAACGTATGCAGTGAGGGCTGGGACAAGGGCAGTAAAGTTGGAAGGACGGGGGTGGGTACCCAATTCAGTGTAATGGTGAAATGGACCACGTTGGTGTTTTCTTTCGCTTTATGCTTTCAGGAGCTACTGGAGTTACATCTGGAAGCTTGAATAACTTAGCTTGAATACTTATTCTGCCCCTGAATAGCTTGTGATATACACTTGGGCCTTCTGAGCCTTGTTTCCCTCATCTGTAAAGTCTGCACTCGCTTAGGGTTGTTGTGAGAGTTACGAAAGCTACGTGGAAGTGTTTTGTAAAGTTCTCCGTATGTGCTGATTATTACTGTGTATTCTGTTAGCGACAGCCGATTGGATGCCAGGCACCAAACCAAAGAGTGCTATGAATGATACACAGTGTTCTTTCTCAAGGAATTGACAGGTCGGGGTAGGACAGAAGACAGGTAAACACATAACTGAAGCAGGGGCAAAGCATGTAGGGGCATAGGTAACAGATTGATAAGAATGATCTCTCCCTCTGGAGGTTAAGTCCCAGTTGGTGGGGTTTCATTCTGACACAGGTGAAACAGACAACGAGGAAGCACGTGATGAGGATGTCACCTGATCCCAGACACTGGAGGTGTTTAGGGAAAGGGCTGGAGGGGTTAGGCTGGGTGGGCATCTTCGAGGGGGGAGCCTGGAGGGCTAGGGAGGTGCAGAAGCAGAGAAAAAAGGAAGGAAATCTGCTTAAGGATCCTGATCGTGCTGTGTTTCTTGTGTGCCTGGGGGTCCACTGCTCCCTAGATGGTGTGGAATTTCTACAGAGGAGATGCTCATGATTCTGGAATTTTTAATTTTTATTTTTTTAATTATTTTTTTGCGGTACGCGGGCCTCTCACTGCTGTGGCCTCTCCCGTTGCGGAGCACAGGCTCCGGACGCGCAGGCTCAGCGGCCATGGCTCACGGGCCCAGCCGCTCCGCGGCATGTGGGACCTTCCCGGACCAGGACACGAACCCATGTCCCCTGCATCGGCAGGCGGACTCTCAACCACTGCGCCACCAGGGAAGCCCTGGAAGTTTTGAAGTTAGGGCCATTAGGATTCTCAGGTGGATTGGATATGGGGGTTTGTAAAAAAGAGAGGAGTCAAGAATGACTCCAAGGATTTGGGCCAGAGCAATTAGAAGGATGGAGTTTTCTCAGCAGAGATGGGGAGACTGTGGGTGGAGAAGGTTTGGGAAGTCAGGGGTTCAGTTTTCAGTTGAGGGAACTGAGGCTAGAAGAGTTAAGTGACCAGTTCTAGGTTACCCCCTAGTAAGTGACCATGGAAATCCTGTAGTTGAAATCCAGACTACCTGGCTCCAGTGTCTTCTGATCACATAAGAGATGTCACAGGGAGATTCTCAATTTTTTCTGCATGGGCAGAGGAGACCTAGGAAGAGGCAAATGAAAGTCTCATGTTTGAGGGCCAAGTCAAACCTGGGTGCTGTGGTCCCTGAGTCTGAGTTATTCCGGAACTTGTGTGGGTGTCTGCGGGAGGGCGTATGTGCAGACCAGGGAAGCTGGAAGTTTTGAAGTTAGGGCCATTAGGATTCTCAGGTGGATTGGATATGGGGGTTTGTAAAAAAGAGAGGAGTCAAGAATGACTCCAAGGATTTGGGCCAGAGCAATTAGAAGGATGGAGTTTTCTCAGCAGAGATGGGGAGACTGTGGGTGGAGAAGGTTTGGGAAGTCAGGGGTTCAGTTTTCAGTTGAGGGAACTGAGGCTAGAAGAGTTAAGTGACCAGTTCTAGGTTACCCCCTAGTAAGTGACCATGGAAATCCTGTAGTTGAAATCCAGACTACCTGGCTCCAGTGTCTTCTGATCACATAAGAGATGTCACAGGGAGATTCTCAATTTTTTCTGCATGGGCAGAGGAGACCTAGGAAGAGGCAAATGAAAGTCTCATGTTTGAGGGCCAAGTCAAACCTGGGTGCTGTGGTCCCTGAGTCTGAGTTATTCCGGAACTTGTGTGGGTGTCTGCGGGAGGGCGTATGTGCAGAGTGTCGGGGGAGAGGGCCGTCTTCCTGTTATGCCCTAGCCTGATGGATGCCATATTCTAGCTTCTCCTGCTTCCTGCCTGAGGTGGGCATGTCCCAGATGCCCAGGTTGGAGGCTCTGGAGCTGCTGGGCTGCCATGGTGACTCCCGCTCCCCTTTCCCACCCCTCTTCTCTCCCTGCTCTGGCCATGAAGTGGAGGAAGTGGACAACACAGTGACACTCATCATCCTGGCTGTTGTGGGCGGGGTCATTGGGCTCCTCATCTTCATCCTGCTGGTTAAGAAGTTCATCGCCTTCATTATCAAGAAGACTCAAGAGAAGTGAGTTGACTCCTGTCCTCCCACCAGCCCACCACCCACTCTCATATCGTGGGTGTTCCCAGCATCTTCTCATCCACCGTCATCTACCCCTATCTGCCCTTCATCCTTCTGCCTATCTCCTAATCCCATCCTCTCTTCCTAATTCTCCCACTCTTTCCTATCCCTGCCACCCTCCTCCCATCTTCCAGCCCCATCCCTAATCTCACTTCCTTTTCCCCATCCTCCCAGTAGGTGTTTGTTGAATACACTGACTTCACTGAGAACATAAATACAACCCACTTGCTCTTCCTCCTTCCCCTGTCTTCCTGCCCATCCCGTTAGCCTGTCTCTATTTGTACCACCTAAATCTAAAGTCCTACCAAAGGCTTTAAGATGCCTTTTTTATTTTCAGGTCAGGGAAAATATAAGACTCCATGTACAGAAGCTCTAAAATGGGAAGATCCTTCTAGGGTGATGGGAGTCTCTTATTGTGAAATTCTGAAAATCCTAATGAGGGAGATAAAAACAGTCTGGAAAGGCTGATATGGCCGCCTAGGAAGCCCTAGGATAAATTCAGGTATAAATCAGATATCTGTAAGAGGAAGGGGAGGAAAGATGGGGAGGTACAAAGGGTGCGACCCAGGCCCAGAATTGCCAGAACAGGCAGGCTCCAAAATTGAATGTTGCAAAACCACAGCAGGCAAAAGGCATTTGAAAGTTGTGTTCTTGGCAAGAAAGATGAGATGAGGCAGGCCTGCCATTGGAGCAGAGAGGGTGAGAGTAACAGGGAGAGGAAGGGAGAAGGGGGAGATGCTCTGTTGGTGTTGGCTTCATTCTGCTCTGTTGAGAAGAAAGAATTAGGCTTGAAAGGGCAGAAATTCCACTGGTAAGAAGGGAAGGCAGCTGACGGCAGGGAGGGACTTTAGAGAATGGCAGAGGGGAGGGGGAGCAGGGAGGCACTGGTTGAGATGATGAACTCTTGGGTTGTCCGCCTGTTTCGTGGCCAGAGGCTGGGAGGGTTTTGGAGATCTGAAGAGGGGCCAGGAGCATGGAGTTGGACCAAATTCTGTTTTTAACAATCAGTCTGACTATTGATGGCGAGCAAATTTGGAGAACACATTATTCAACATATGGTTTAAAAACACTTAGAAAAGAAAACAGTGATCCTCGGGAGCCACCACAAGTTCATCAAAAACAAGGCAGGCTAACGTTTTCTTGCTAGCACACAGCTGGATCAGGAGGATGCTATAGATAGTAATACTTCCTGTCATTCATCGCATGCCTACCATGTGTTAGGTACTCCACCAGGCTTTTTTTTTTTTTTTTTTTTTTTTTTTTTGCGGTACGCGGGCCTCTCACTGTTGTGGCCTCTCCCGTTGAGGAGCACAGGATCCGGGCGCGCAGGCTCAGTGGCCATGGCTCACGGGCCCAGCCGCTCCGCGGCATGTGGCATCCTCTGGGACTGGGGCATGAGCCCGTGTCCCCTGCATCGGCAGGCGGACTCTCAACCACTGCGCCACCAGGGAAGCCCCACCAGGCATTTTTTAAAATAAAATATGTACAATTTTAGTTTGAAGTTGAGCAAAGTGAGGTTTCAGAGTGGTTTAGTGACTTGCCTAAGGCTAATAAGTGATAGAGTTGGGATTTGAATCCTGACTTGTTTGCTTTGAAGCTTCAACCATTGCCACCATATCCTACTGATTCATGGGGTGGATCTAGAGTTCAGTCAGTCGTTCTTTCATTCGGTGGCTCTTTTTGAGGTGCTGTGTGCAAGGTACTGTGCCAGGTGCTGCAGGAAATTCTGGAAGGAATGAGATTCTGTAAAGAAGACATGTACACAAATCATTGTAACATGAGTCAGAGGGATTAGGGCCGGTGTAGAGGTGTGAGAGAATGCCGCAGGGGTTCAGGAGAGGGTGGAATACTAGGGAAGGATTTCTGGCCAAAGAAACATTTGTGGTCAGCCTTGCAAGATGGATATGATTTAAGCCCTGGGGAGGGTAAAGAGAAGGGTGTTCCAGGTGGGGAACACTGAGAGCAAAGACAGAGAGTCTGGGAAAGGAGCATGTTCTGGAGAACAAGGCATTTATTGTTGTTGTTGAGAGAGTCGGGGCGGGGGGGTGTGATAGGGAGGAAGAGGAGGAAAAACCTGCGAAGGGGGTTGGGACAGACCCTTGAGGACCTGGGAGTCCAGGCTGAGACTGGCTTTCCTCTGACTGCAGGGGATCTGGGGAGGGCTTGCACGGCCTGGCTCCATCAGAGGACCCGGAAGAAAGTGTCTGGCCTTGGTGGGCACAGGGACTGGCTGGGGAGGTGGGAGACAGGTCACGGGGAAGCCCGAGGAGGTTCTCTGAGCAGCGAGGAAAGCCTGCATAACAGCAGAGATGTGGCTTCCTCCCAAGAAGAAGGGAGGTGTGGGGCAGCATCTCATGATCAGTTCTGGGCTTTCACATGTGGGTGCAGTTCCCCCTGCCTGGAGTGTCTCCTCCCTCTTTTCCTGCTCATCTTTCTTGGTCTCAGCTTAAAGGACACTTCCAAAGAGCCTTCCCTGACCCTAGAAGGAGCCTTCCTAGGTTGAGTCCCTCCCTGGTATGCCCCCCATCCTATCATTTACCACATTGTATTGCAATTACTTGTGTAATAGCATGTCCCCTGGAAGACTGCAAGTTTTTGGAGAGCAAGCACCATGTCAATTGGACACCCTTCTAGCCTGATACGTTGCCTGGTAGCCAGTAGGGTCTTAGTAAAGAAATATGGATGGTTAGTTGGATAGGAATTGGCCAGGTTGACTATACCTTAGGTATAGAGATAGATAGATAGGTAGATGATAGATAGACCCATCTGAATAGAGGTCTTTAGTGGTATGTCACAGGACTCTGTTTGTTCATTGTTATTATTAAGACTTGAACTACACTAGGAGTGATATAAGAAACCTAGCAACTATATTGGATGGAGAACAAGATTGAGATCTAGGAGGATCTTTTTTTTTTTTTCGATTGAAATATAGTTGATTTACAATGTTGTGTTAGTTTCTGGTGTACAGCAAAGTGATTCGGTTATAATACATACATATATATACTTTTTCAGATTCTTTTCTATTATGATTTATTACAAGATATTGAATATAGTTCCCTATGCTATGCAGTAGGACCTTGTGGTTTATCTATTTTATATATTATAGTTTGTATCTGCTAATCTCAAACTCCTAATTTATCTCTCCCCCTTTGGTAACTGTAAGTTTTTTTTTTTTTTCTATGCCTGTGAGTCTGTTTCTGTTTCGTAGATAAGTTCATTTGTATCATATTTTAGATTCCACGTATAAGTGATATCGTGTGGTATTTGTCTTTCTCTGTCTGACTTACTTCACTTAGTATGATAATCTCTAGGTCCATCCATGTTGCTGCAAATGGCATTATTTCATTCTTTTTTATGGCTGAGTAATATTCCATTGTATACATGTACCACATCTTCTTTATCCATTTATCTGTGGATGGACATTTGGGTTATTTCCGTGTCTTGGCTATTGTAAATAGTGCTGCTATGAACATTGGGGTGCATGTATCTTTTCGAATTAGAGTTTCCTCCAGATATATGCCCAGGAGTAGGATTGCTGGATGATATGGCAACTCTATTTTTAGTTTTAAAAAACTAAACCTACGTACTGTTTTCCATAGTGACTGCACCAATTTACATTCCCACCAGCAGTGTAGGAGGGTTCCATTTTCTGGATCTAGGAGGATCTTAAGAGGCTGGAGCTATGGACTAAATCTTGCAAGATAAAATTGATGAGGACAAAATGTTAAGTCCTTCCTGAAGGCCTCAAACCCAGGTATAGAAGCCCAGGGTGAGGCTAAGATATAGTTTAGCGACAACAGCAGTGAAAAAGACTTGGAGGTTTTCATGAGCTGAAAGGTGGGAGTGATGTAGCAGTCAGGTCTTCCCTGGAGAGCCCTGTGCAGCCTGGGCACTGCTGTTGGGGGGCATTGTACTCAAACGGGAGCATGTCCAGCACAGGGTGGCCAGGGTGGTGATGCCTCTGGGGGTGTCTTCCACCTATAACCATCTCTCCTTCCTACTCCCTTCTGCCCTGTCCCACCACCCCCTGCTCACACCTGCTGTGCCCTTTCCATCTCGTTCTTCTACCTCTGGTCACGGTGAGCTT